ATTTGGCTGGCAGGTCTTCGTTTTGGCCCATTCCAATGCCAAAAACCATTTGGGCCCAAACGCATGCAGCAACGTTTGGCATAATTGAACAGGCAGCAACAACAACGACTGGAAGATGGTAAACCGAAAGAGGCGACCGCACGTTGACCCAATTCATAATCATGCTTAAACGCCGTCTCTGAACTTTCAACTTGCTCTTGGGGCCTGCCGCATAATGCAGATAATCATGTTAATAACAATGGTAATGATGATTAGGCCTCGGACCCTGGACCTCAATGCGAATGCTGCCTCCGCTCCTGCTGCCGCTGCTGCTGCTGATGATGATGGCAGCCTTTCACCGCCACATGAACCTGCCGTTTATGTTGCCGTTGTTGTCCTCGTGTGTCCGCCGCGCTCAGAGCAAACATAATTTTCACAATCAGGCAGAGAATCTCGCTCGCTAGCCAAATCTTTGCCTTCGACTCTTCTTTGACTCTGGCTTTGCCTTTGACTCCGACTCGAAATCTTCTTTTGGCGCTTTCACATGACTCATAACAAGCCAAAAGCATTTTGTGAGCAACGCTTAAAATGCAAAAGCACAGCAGAAGCGCACAAAGCTACAGCTACAAATATCAAAATCGCGTTCGCCCAAAAAAAAAACAAGAAGTGCAAATAATGCAGAGAAGAATCGAATTTTTAATGCTCTTTCAGTTGCAAAGGATCAAAAAAATCGAACAAAACAATATTTTAGACATATATTTTATATATATACCTATACTCATTTACGGATTGCAACTAAAACAAATGTTGCTTAAGTTAATCTGGTTTAATGATACAAATAATAATGTAAAGGAGGTCCTTAAAAAAAATCGGGAATGGCACTGCGACAGGAGCCTAGAGCTCCCTATGTTAACAAGGATCGCTTTTGCCTAAAAAGCTGCATATTATTATTAAATAAAATAAAGCCAGAAAACTTATTGGCTAAGGACATCTTTTAAAAATTATATTTGTTAAATTTAATAGCATATCGGTTATTAAATTCAAACAATTTGTTGCCTTATTCCTCGTCGTTACCAGCTTTGACACATATTCAACAAGCCCAGCACAAAAGTGCATATACCAAAAAAAAAAAACACAAAGCAGAAAAAAAAAAACAGAAAAAATTCTGAATAATTCGTGATCTACAGGCGCAAAAAGAGGGTCACGTTGTTTTGTTGCTGCTGCTGCCGCTGCCGCTGCTGCCTGGTATAAAAGATGAAGATGAAGACGAAGGCGATGACGATGCTGTTGACCGAGGCCGCGCTGTAAGCCACGTATGAGAGTTTTGGCCAAGTTGGTCTCCTCCGTCCAGTTGTGCCTTCTGTCCGATCAAGCGCACGCTGCACTCCAAACACGATTTCAAAATATTTCGCATAAATAAGTTAGTGTAACACACGAGAGAACTGTGCCCAAGTCCAAGACCAAGTCCAGGCCCAACAGCCGAAGCGTTGATCACACGTTCACATTATTTGATGATCGCACGATATGAAAAAAACCAAAAACAACAACAACCACAACAAAAACAACAACAACAACAACAACAACAACTGTTAAGGAAAGCAAAATTCGTAGTAGCTGTTCGCTCAATATTTCCATACACCCCATAGCCACATGATCGTGATAATCCATTATTAATGCCAATCAGCATAGAAAAACAACAACAACAACAACAACAACAGGAACAACAGCAGTAGCTGCTACTTTCTGCAGTAGCTTCCCATAGAGATTATGATCGTGGCGCCCATTTCCTGTGGCAAACCGTACCGCACCACCCAACGGGGGCAACCCACCCGCTACCCGTAGCGTGCATTGACATGAGCAATTCGTAAGTTTGTCGCCTGCCCGAATGCCAGCTCTGCAAGCAGGCAACGCGGCTAAAACCAAATTTGCATGCAACCAAACGCTGCTCACCTGGTGGTCGTCTCTCCACATTCATATTGCGGTTGTTGTTGTTATTGTTGTTGTCATTATGTGGGGTTGCAGTTGCATTTGCAACAGTTGCAACTGTTGCAGGACCTCCCACATGCAGCTCGATTGTTTTGTTGCGGTTACTGCTACCGTTTGCCCAGTTGCTTCATCATTCTCCCCCCGCCCCCACCTGCTGCACCAGCCGTCTTCTCTGCCCAACTTGTCCATTTTTGGTCTCATAATTGTACGAAATTTAGTTCGCATGCCCTTGCGGTCGCCTTTGGTTCCTCTCTGGCAACGCGAAGGCAGTTACGTCTTTTGTTTTCTGTTTTTCTGTTTGTTTTTTTTGCCTTAACGGGCGGAACAATAAATGTTTCGGTCCGGTTCGGCTTGTGTTGTTGCCTGCCACATTTTGGGCATTCAAATGTGGCAGCAACTTTCGCGAAATGAAAACTTCAATTTTTTATCGAGTGCATTGCTCATAATTACCAAAAGCCCAAAAGCAGCCGCTGCTCTTGGCTCTCGGCTCTCAACTCTGACTGTGGATCTGACTCTGACTCCGAGCTGGGCTTCGGTTGTAGCTGTTGTTGCTTTGGGCCCAACTCCTGCACTCGATATTCAATTTTGCATTTTACAACAAATGCGTGCCTTACCATATTTAGTTGGCGTGCAAAAATAAGCCAAGTCTCTTAGCAAACTGTGTGAGCGGCGGCGGGCGTTGGGCACGGGGGAGGGGGAGGGGCAAGCATAGAGGCAGCTCGTGCATTGTGCTTATCATTTACATAGCTTAGCATTTTGATGACCCAGCCATTTGTGCAACACTGTGGCATAGAGCAGGCTGGCTGGTGCCTGCCCCAGCAACAGCAGCAGCAGCAGCAAAAAAATTAATTTCAAATTAAATTTATGGCGCCGCAACGTCAGGCAAGGAAAGCGTCGCCCATGGATGTGAATGTGGTTGTGTGTGAGTGTGTGTGTGTGTGTGTGTGTGTGTGTGTGTGTGTGTGTGTGTGTGTGTGTGTGTGTGTGTGTGTGTGTGTGTGTGTGTGTGTGTGTGTGTGTGTGTGGCAGATGTGAACCGTGTGCAACTGTTGGCCACCGCAGCAGCTTCAAGTGATTTATAACTGTTTGGCGGCAAGCTTACCTACCCCCTCGTAAAAGTTCACCACAGCGAATCAGGGAGTCGGCGAATTGAGTGAGCTGCCCCTGTCGCCTGATGGGGATATGCCACGCATTTGTGACCACTCATCTTGGCGAGCTATAAATGTCCAAATGAGTTGCCAGCAAAACCATCAACCAACCAACCTCAGCCACTGCGCGAAACGACGAGTCCAGCACAGAATGCACAAAATCACTTTGTTGTGGTAGCTGCTCTTAATCGTTTTGGAATTGCTTTATTAATAGAACAATTGTCGGAATTAAAGGCCAGGTCAGGGCACTTGATGGACCTTTTTTTTCTTGTTTTCAATTTTGTCATAAATGTTGCCCCCAAACGTTCAGCTTCAATGGACCAACGACATTGGCCAAATGCAGCGCATATCAGTAGGGTATATTGATTGATGAAGGGCCTTGATAAGATGTCTTCAACGGATCGAAAAGTTTCCCAGGAGACACGACAGATATCGATCTGAAGCGATGTCTTCAACTATTTGACTCTAACTTATCTAATTGAGAGCCACGAGAAGTGGCCTTGTATCATATTCTGGCTACTTAATGAAATATATTTTAGTTCCTTAACTTAAACTCTGAATGAAACGACGTGCAAGGCATAGGAGCTGTCGCCTAGGCAGGGCAAAAATCTCTGTTAACCTGCTCATCTGACAGCTCGATGCTCGCGAGCTTGCAATTCAGCATGACACTTGATGCCTGATGCTTTAAGTGAATAATTGCCAACAACAAAAATAAAAAACAAAATAAAATAAAATAAAATAAATAAAAAACAAGAAGAAGCAAATGAAGAAGCAGTAAAGCAAAGCTTGAACTGATGGCCAGCAATGATGACCGGCCGTTAAAGGCCAACAAAACCAGGCCAGATACAGGCGTAGCCAGCTCCAGATGTGTGGCAAGCAATTAGAATGAAGGGGGCAAGGATGCACATGCAACAGACAACGGACAGACGGCTGCCGCTGAGCTTGCAACATATTTAACACTCCCTTTTGATAACGTAAACTAGAGAAAAAACGCATAGTCGACGCATTGTCGCCGGCTGCTGCATGGTGGTCATTTGCCTCGGGGTGACGATGTTGCAACATGCCTGTTGCCTGTTGCCTGATGCCGCTTAAGTGATTTGTTCAGCGAACTCAGCGCATTTTCCCAAGGGAGTGTGTGGGGTGGAAAGGGGGGCAACTTCATTAATATGTATGCTGGCTGGCTGGCTGGCTGGCGGGTTGGCCTGTTGTCTGCTTGTCTGTGGCAATGTGGCTCTGGCTACGTTTGCAAAGTGCAAACTGTTTAATTGCGGAATAATTGTTTTGCACACATAACCTCGCACCGTTGCAAATGGACCTGGTCAGGCCATAAAAAGCATATTAAGTGCGAATTAATGACCACAAAAGGCTTACCAGGCCGCGCTCACTTCTTGGCCAGGCCTGAACTTAACTCAACTCAATGCGGCAAAAAGCGGAGCACATACACACAGAGAGATTTCGCCATAAGTCGGCCCCTGAAGCTGCAGCTCCTTCACTGGCGATTAAGTCGCCTGCTCCAAGTCCATTCGCCACTTAAGTACAGTCATTTAATTAGTCTTTAGTTTTAATGTATTTGTATTACAATTTATTAGCGCTTACGGCTACTCAACATGAGCCCAGAACGTCGACTTCTGTCATTTAAAAAGTATCTTGAGCGAGTGCCATTATCCAGAAACCTTGAGCTAGTCGGCTCTTCAGTTGACATGGCAACAGCTCTGGTATGTTTGCTCCTTGAAAATTCAATTTACCTTATCTACCTTATAATTCAGAAGATCTTGAAGTGAATCTATTTTAAGTAAACAGACAAAACTTTGGTCTATCCTGAACGTTTTCATTTTAATATGTTATATGTAAGCTTATGCATGAACGTTTATGTCTCCTCTATTCCAGCACAAATGTCCCAAAAGTTTAGCTGCTTTATGTTTCTTTGATATGGTTGGTTTCGTAACTGGCAATAACAAAATGGTCTCAATCTATCGTATCGGTGAGTGCTATAAACATTTTGCTTATCTAAACCGAAAACTACTTTGTAAATATGTATATTTGGGAATTTTTGTTTTTGTTGCAATTGAGACCTGTTGAGATCTGTTTCGGCCAGCCAATAGATCAGGTTTGTTCATTTGCCGCATGCATATTTATTAAATTCACGTTCCGTAGACCATTTGGTTGGAAATCCATTTGTTTAAACGATATCAAGTCAATCGCTGGCTTATTGACTCGTAACAGCTTTTTCTCGAGCGATTCAAAGGCGAGCTTGTTATTTTTTCTATAACAAATTCTTGCATTAATTTCAAATCAATTTTCTTCACAGCTAAAGGCCCTTATCTTTTTGTATATAGAGAGATCCCAAAAAGGCAACAACTGAAAACTGCACCGAAACGAACAAATTTACGTTCGAAGCGTGGCCTAAACAAAGGAACTTCATTGTTTCATCGCGACTGTAAAAGAGATTTATGCGTCCAAGTGAAATCATTTATCATGCTTAATTAAAATTGAAATGTTTAGCTGGCTGACTTCTTCCTCTTCTTCTTCTTCTTCTTTTCGTTTCGGCTGCTCCCAATGGGGGGAACTGTATACAGCCAAGGCAGGAGGGCAGGAGGGCAGTCAGGCAGCTGGCAAGCCTTCTCTAATGCCAACATTTTCTTACATTTGTTTTCTACACCTTTTCATATTATTTGTTGACACATTGTTACACAAAATGCATTTAACCGGTTTTTATATAAACGTATACCAGGAAGATTCTCCGAGCTTCTTTCTACAACTTGTTTCATTGTATTCCCAACACTATCTCTCTCTCTCTTTCTCTATCATATTCACGTATTTAGCGGTGCGTTTCCAATGCAAAGTGGCCGTTTATCTTTTAATTGTAACAGTCTGTGGCATTAATAAATGCACAGCCTCGGGCTGTCATAAATCGTAAGATAATAGTCTGAATATATTAATAATATCTGCAGAGATTTGCATTATAAAAGGATCGTGTATGTGCGTTGCGTCGGTTGCAGCTTCAGCTGTATTTTCTACGATTCCAAAGTCAGTTATATATATATACTAATCTATTTATATATAGCATTTCTTATCACCAGTAGCATCGATTTTCTATTGTTCTATTCAATTCAAAGTCAATTAAGAACTAGTTCTCACCCGGTAACAATTTAAAACCCAAACTATTAGCCCCAATATATCAAAGGTTCACTCTATAGAAAAACTCTGAAAGTGAATCATTTGGAACTTTTTGTGTTGTTATTTTCAAATCAATGCATTCTCTCACTTAGCACCTGTTTCTATAAAACTCAAAGGCGAAAATCAGTCATTAAATCAATTAGCGAAAAATCTATCAATTTGCAATGTAGATCGCACGTCACAGAAATTCACAGAAATTTGTTTTAACATTAGGCTACAGTTAAGCTATTATACATTGAACCCATTTACATTTTAATAAACCTAGCCTGATTGAAAGCGATCGTTGCCATAATAGTTGCACATATTTTGTTGGCTAGTTGCTATTGTTTTTGATACCCTGTACTGGATGAGTAGGGTAACATCTTGCCCATCTCAATGAGCATCGGAACAGTAATTATGATTTAAAGGTTTTCACATATTTTGGCCTATTTATTGTTCTCATAAATTAAGCATAATAATAATGAATATTCAAGAGTATTCAAGAGTTGATTATTTATTAGCTCTTAATATACCTTGCGTGAAATATGCATAATTTGTTATATCAAGTTTAAATTTGAGTGCAGAATATCTCAGAGTCAGGCACTTCTATATCTTTCCTAGTTGTTGTTGCTTTTAACAATTTTTCTTGTTGTATAAGGTGTGTTACAGCCAAGCTTCAGTTAATGCACACACACACACATATGCACACTTATGCACGTGTGTTGTGAATCGACTCACCAAGTTGGCAAGCTAAAGTTCAATGATGTCATTACGACTAATTCACACCTATGTTTGAATTCTGAGTACGCGATTGTTTGTTTATTTATGCATCGATACATATATATTAAAATATATACATATATTTTTTTTTGCCAACTGCGATCGAAATCTAAATAAATTTAGCATTTAATAATAGCGTCATATTTAATCATACAGCAACCCGTTGTGCCTAATAACTTTATTTGTCGAAATAAAATTGTTATAGCAGCAACGCCTAACGAGGGGCTGAATGTCGACCACCCGCTGATATTAAAAATTCTAGTTAATTGATTGCAGCCCAAAATGTATTATTTAATGCTGATTGGTGGCTTGGTAGCTGGCTATAGAAACTGGCAATCAGCTCGGAGCTGGAAGCTGCTAAATAAAATATGAGTTCTACGCAAGTTTGTTGCCTAAGTCTTTTGTTTTGTGGCATCTCAAAGCGAAATGTCAATGAATTCTTTGTATGTCGCTTACAGTTAACTTATGCTAAATCGGCTCAAGCCGAGTAACAACTACAATTCGACGCACCTCCTCCCCCACCCCTGCACCCCACGCAACACATCCACTTCTGTGTTCTTGTTGTCATTGGAAATTAACACCCCGAGACCCAAAAAAAAAAAGAGAAGAAGTTAATTTAAATCAATGCGCAAACTCTTGTTGGGAACCGCTTAACTCGTGCGTTGCTGAAACAAATGCCAATCTATAGGCATGTGAGACTCGTCCGACCCTCTCCACGTTGTTTCACTCCCCACTTGTTTGCGAGGCTCCAAAAAGTGTTAAGTATGCCTTTTATGTTTGGGATCTCTTTGGGTTGTTTGGCTGTTTGCTTAGGCAATCAGTTGTTGATAATTTTTTTTGTTAGTGTCAATTGTTGTTTTGTTGTAGCTTTGTGTTGTGTGCTGCGTTGTGTATTGTGTTGTGTATTGTGTCTGGTGTCTGGTCTGTTGTGTGTGATAATTTAGACAATTCATCGATAAAAGCGCGCAACAAGCGTATCGAATGTGCATATAGCTAAATGGCTTCTAATTTATCCACTTATGCACTGGGTACTAAGTTAGTCATGTAGAGTGTAACGCTCTCAAGGAGACATACAATATATTAACTGTCAATAGAGGTCTGATTTTACTGGATGTGGGAGAGATTCTGCACAAATTCTTTACGAATTATTTCCCATGATCCATCATCGATGGCATACGCGACGACCTCAAGCGGCATTCAATCATTATTCAGCTTTTTTACACCACCCACCAAATAATAGAAGACATCTGCAATAACAACAGCAACAACAAAAACAAACAAACACAATTACGAGCAATGTAAGGCCAATCAAGACAACTTGGTCAATGGCTATAATTGCTAGAAATAGCTCTGGTGTTAATGCTTCGAGACGGGAATTTTCGTTTTCATTTGTGCAACAAACAATAAAAACGTGATTAAAGATGCTATGCAAAGTACTGTATCAATTTGCATGGGTATCATGGGGTATATTCACTGCAGGGCCGCAGAAAATATCGCAGTTGATTTATTTTTATTATTCAGAACTTAGAGATTTATCATTTCCTCTTTGATTCATATTGAAGTAAACATTCAGAACGATATCAAACATTCCCAATTACCTCAATTTCGATTTCTTCTCCACTTTGTATACAGCGTATTTGTCCATCGATCAACTTTCTATCTGGCGACCCGCGTTATTGAGTTGAATCACAAAACTTGCCTTGCGAATCGTTTGGCGCTGCTTTAATGTGGGAAATAAGTCAAGCTATGGCCTCTCTACGCCCAGCCCAAAAAAAAAGAGCTTAGCTCCGGTTGTGCTCGTACTCCGGGGGCGTACTTGTATTCAGATTTAGATACAGTTGACTATTAAAATCGATGTAAGCGAAGTGTGCGCTGTGCATATAATTACAATTACAAAATTTTAAATATTTCTACATGCATTTTTATGCTTCATTTCCTGTGCACAGTCAATGGCCAATGGGCATTGGTCAATGGGAATCAATGGAAAGCTCTTTGCTTTGCATATTAATTTTGGGGCGACAAAGTGCATGGCGGCCATACGAAATGTGCATTTAATTGACAGGCCAAAAGAATCAAAATTAGCATAAACGGACAGCATATTTTATTTATTTCAATACAATATTTTCATTAACAAAACCGTCAAAATATTCTAGTCGAAAGTGTTCGACAAAAGGATACCCTGCAAGCCGGTGACTCGTACTACTGTTTTTTTTAATTATATAGAAATATATTTAACACTATGAATAAATAAACTGTATAAATACATATTCAAGATATATGTATACTTGCTTGACAAATATTAAAGCACATTTCTTTTAGAAAAGAATAATAGGAATATATATTTCTATTGCTTTTGCTAGCTTGTGATAAACATCTTAAATTTAAACAATAAATTGGGTATAGCTTATTATGATGCGGATATATTTTGTATTTGACATCTCAAGAAAATACATTTAGCAAGAAGATTTTCGGCTCTTAATTTTTCGTGATGTAATGATGGAATATTAATGAATCAATACACAACTTCCTGAAAGCTCATTTTACAGGGTATCACGTTTTGTTTTGGGTGTCTTTTTACAGTTACATCAGCCAAAATGTTTTTTTTTTTCTTTCGTTTATTAAGTTTTTCTGTAATGCCGCCCAAAAGCTTTCTTCTGACACATGTCCAACCACTTTTCGACCTGTTCGATCGGCTGGCCCGGTCGGTAAGTTCAATAACTTGGCGTGTGTGTGTGTCTGTCTGTTGCACAGAGTTTGATGAATGCATTTGCCGAACGAACAAGTTTTGCATAATAACCAAAGCCATAAATGATATGTCTAAAAGTTTCTATAGCAGTAAAAATTGTGTGCGTTTGTTCCTGTGCTGCACATCTCAATTATTGGGCTGTCAGCTTGCTTTGAAATTGGCAGATGCAAGCGATGTATCGAAATTTAACATCGACATCGATCGCATGTCAATCGGAGGAGAACTTTATATACACATATATATATATATATATATATATATATATATATATATATATGTATATATATGCGGCATACTGA